TTTGAAAATCATGCTTCTTCAGACAGAGTGCTTCAACACAGAAGCCTAGGGTTGCTTGTATTCAGTGATTTCTCAGTATGCACTTCATTGATGTTTCAGAAGATACGTAAACTAGGCATGAAATTAAAAAATGGTGTTGGGTGTTTCCAGGGCAATCCTAAAATGAAAAATAGAAATAAAGAGAAATGATATTTGTCAAAATAGTTTTCAAAGTCTTTTCAGCATTTTTAGTCTTAGCCCTTTAGAAAAAAACATCGGCCAGAGCTGTAATCCAACTACTAGGAAGAGAGTGCATGATTTTTCTCATTAGAAAGCTTTCTTTGGGTTTTGGGAGAGACATATTAAGTGTTAGCATACTTGTGTTGATGTCACCTTCTTCCCAAAGGTGGTCGGAGTCAGGTTCTGGAACACCAGGCTGTCCTCAGCCAGAACACTGGACCCATGGGCCTTACCCTTTGCTGTGATTTGTGAAGTTAATTTCTTCTTCGGTGACATTTGAATAAATCAGGGTGCCAATTGGATCATTTTTAACAAGTGTCCATTTGGAAAAGTCATACTTAAGCCAGCAGTTTTAAATAGATTGTAAATGCAAAGAAACACAGACTGTAAGTCTGTGGTGTCCCACCCTCTTCACACACAATCAGAAATATAGGAGAGGCCACTTGGAAGATCTCATGTAAGTTTGTTGCCATGTTCAAGTCTCAAGTTATGCTTTACCAAATCGTAAAAGTCCAATATAAAACAGTATAGCCAAAAAACTACCCAATGGCATTGTTCATGCACTGATGATTCTTGAAAAAACAAACATAAAAAGACAATGAAGAAAACAACTTTGCCCTACGTAATCGATGGACAGGATATTGTAATTATCTGACAGCAAATTTTTATTTATGACAGAAAATATTGCTTAAAGATTATCAAGATCTAAAACCTTCTCATCCTAAAACTAAACCATGAGATCTGTTTTTATATTTTATTCTCCCTCACAGTATCTCCAGCATGTGTATTGTTCCGTGTGACAAGGTGTGCACAAAGGTTCTGATCTCTTCTCCCATGGGAGGGTAATCCTGTCTAATTTTAAACAACTACCAAGCTCCCTGGAACACCAAAAAGCCAATAATTACATTGGAATATCTACATTCAAAACAGGAGGAGATTGAAGTGGACAGACACATGTATGTGCATTCTTTTCCAAGGAATGCTACTAACCACTTCAAAAATGAGCTCCTGGGCTTGTCCTCTCCTATTATTTGAGAAAGGCGGGTTCCCATCCCACTGCCTGTGCCAGGAGGAAGTGGGTTTCCTGCAGGAGGAGGGAATTCTTCATGACTCCTTGCATCAATCTCAGTCCTGGTGACATGAGAGTGGTTTTAATGCCCTTAGAAACTCTGTTTAGCCTTGCTTTCCTACTTGAAAAGGAAGTACTGTGCATGTGTAACGCTAGTCTCATTACAAGATGAATTTGACAGGTACAAAAGTGTAAAGTCTTTCATAGAGTGTTTTCTTGGCAGTAGAGTTCAGCAGTCTGTATGCATCCATTCTGAGCCATCTCCCAGGATCAGCATACTGGTGTCCATGTATATCAAGGCTGCCCAGGGACGTGATGGAGTCCCTGGAGGTGTTTAAGGGGAGATGTAGAACTTAGGGACCTGGTTTAGTGGGCAGTATCAGTGGTGGATGGATGTTTGAACTAGGTGATCTTAGAAGTCTTCTCCAATATCTATTGGATTCTATTTGATTCCTGATTTCAAAGCACACTTTAAAAATAAGAAAACATTTTCCAGGTAGCTTACATTTTTACATTTAAAAAATAAAGGAAGCACAGTAGATTTTGACTCTCATTGACCTCACGGAAGAAAACGTGTGATCTTCCTATTTGCTCAGTAGAAGTAGATTTCTGCAATGAATTTTTTTCATATTGACAGTTGTACCGTATTACATTATTGATTGTTTCCTTAAGTGTCAGTAGTCCTGGAGCTGCAGTTGGATCAGAATTCTCTCCTTTCTGAAGATCTTCTTGCCTTCCAGTTTCCAGGTGTTCATCTCCGCCTCTTCAGTCAGTGACTTACAGTGACTTTCACTACTGTTGTATATGCTCTCCAAGTTGCTGCAGTTAATGATATTTTACATAACAGCTTGAAATACAAATTTTTTACAACCTTGCTGAAATAAGTTACAGGACAATAATATGGACTGTTTCTTAGCAGGGCTGGTAGTGCAGTAAACAGCACGAAACCTGTATTGGTATCAGTGCAGCAGTGTTAAGAGAGTTTTTTGCATCCTTGGTATTCACTGGCACTCAGCAGTGAAGCTACTGCTACACCATCCTTGCAAACCTATACCCATATCCTTATACAGTTCTGAGTAATGTTTTTAAAGCTCAAAGGCTTAACATTGGTTTAGGGTTAGAGGTTGGTAGAAAAGTAGCATCTAGACTTACAGGTTTAGTTTCCACGTCAAATTCTAGAACTAATGGAGCTGTGAAGGTTTAAGGGTTTGTGTCACAGATGTGGGTTTTCGTTTTTGTCTATAGTCTGCCTTGTATATTTTAAGATATGTGCCTGTAGCTTGCTGTGAGATCATATTCTGTACCTTAGATATTTTTTTAAGGATGAATGCTGAGAGGTTCTGTTTTAGGTTTTTTGCTATGTTCTTTATTTCTGTGTTACTAAAAGTAGCATTTTTCACTGGCAGGATCCACCTTTAAGTACTGTAGCATATTTACATGAAGTCAGGTAGTACACACTTCAGTTGTCTGAGGTCTTTCTCTAATGCTCACTCAGATAAATGCTCCTTTTTCTACTGTTCTGCATACTGTCTTTTTTGCATGCTTTCAACAGCTAAAAGCAAAATTTTCCTATTTATCTAAGAGCTGTATGCTTTAGGCAAATGAGTTTAGGTTATGGGGATAAGTTTACATACAGATACTCCTGAAGAGAAATATAATTAGCATGAGTTAAATTGTGAAGCAGGCTTTTTACGTGTTTGCTTTCTGTCTGCACAGTTGAGAACTACTCCAGATAGAAAAGAGTTGTAATAACTGCATTGCAATGACTGCAAAGTCAGCAAGCAGAAGTTTGAATTTGTGTGCATATCTTCTGTCTGCCATTATGCACTTCAAAAAACAGGGTCAGTATGAGCTCTGGCAATAAATATTTGCACTTTTAGTTCCTTACTTGAATCATTCTGATGAATACAGAATTAAATATTTCTAAAAAAACCTCCATAACATCAGCAGAATTCTATAATGCACAAAATTCAGATACTGTACTTGAGCCCAAACGTATTTCTAGAAAGACATCACTTTTGATTTTTTTGAAGACTTGAAGCAGTAGAGATTCTAATATCACTGATTATCCACACTGCATAAAAGATTTTATATTTCTATTTTGAATTTCAAGTGCTGCTCACAGATGCAGATTTTGTTTCTTCCACCTTTATTAGAAAAAGCACACAAAAACATCTGAGCTGCACCCTCCAAAAACTCCTCCATGTGTACCTGATTGAATCCATTCTTAATCTTTGATAAGGCTGGAAAGGCTGCATGGAAATCTTCCACGGTGCTTGTTGTAATGCAGCAAGCTGGCACTTCAGACTTCCTGGATTAAAGCATTACTACAGAAGAATCATTATTGCTCTCGAAGTAAAATATAGAAGCAAAAAACACACAGGGAAAAATGCATTTGCAAATATGCAGAAAAAGACTATTATAAGGTATAAAACATAATTTCCTATTATTGAATGGAGATATTTTCACCAAAAACTGGAGGGAGCAAAAAAAAAAAAAAAAAAAAAAAACCACCCAAACAAATAAAATAACAGTCATGGCAGCTGGAAAGAATATCCACTTCAGAAAAAGCTTTGAGCGTCTGATGGTGCCTTTATACACATCCAGTAGTTAAAGCACGCCCTTGCACTGCAAGTGCTTTGATTCAAATTCTACCTGAAGGACTTCAAGGCCTCCCAGCTCCCAGCTCCCAGCTTCTAACTGTTTCCACTAATTAAAGGTGCTATTCTTAGGTTATTTCCCTTTGTCTTCTCCTCCTGGAGCCTATTGCATTTGGTGAGAAATAATGAAATTTTAATGTGTTCTGTTAAAGATGTTGTAATTGTCTTTATTGAATTTTTGTTTAAGAACAAAACTTTGTATAATCTTTCAAATAGACTGAATTGATGGTAAAATGCAATTTTGAAACATAGAGTCATAGAATCACAAGGTTGGAAAGGACCCACAAGATCATCTAGTCCAACCATCCTCCCACTGCCATTGCTACCACAAGCACTAAACCATATCTCACAGCTCCTCATCCAGGCACCTCTTGAACACTGCCAGGGACGGCGACTCCACCACCTCCCTGGGCAGCCATTCCAGTGCCTGACCACCCTCTGAGAGAAAAAGCTCTTCCTTATGTCTAATCTAAACTTCCTCTGGCACAACTTGTGGCCGTTTCCTCGGGTCCTGTTTGTTGCCTGGTAGAAGAGGCCAAACCCCTCCTCATCACAGCCTTCCTTCAGAAGTTGTACTTGAAGTATCAGTTTAATTATGCTGTTCAATATCAGAAAGGTTTGTATATTGCAGGGAGTTTAGTTCTTGACTGAAAGGAGTTTACATCCCAGAACTACTCTTTAATGTGTCAGTTTCTCATAGTTTCCATGAGCAACTATATTTTGTTTAATCTTGGATATACTGACCTTCTAAATGTGTTTTATGTGTGATTTCTGGATGCCTATCTAACTTGCAGTTACTTATCTCTTCACAATTGCTAATTATCTGGGATGCATTTGTACTTTTGAGGGAGGAAGGAGTACCTTCCATCAGTAATATAGAAGCATTAAATGCATCTTCAGAAATGTCTCTGAACAAAGAAGTTGTTCATGGCACTGGTATAGTAAGGGGCTCTGTGTTTGCACATCCAAATGGTAATGTAGATCTGACATAGTCATTCAGAATTTCTTCTGTTTGAAAATGTTAAGCCCATTGTATCAATTTGGTTTTTTAGGCAAAGAGCAGTCTTCAGGAGAGGTGACCATGCACCCTGTCTCAGCAACTCCGCTCTCCGTGTTCAGTAAGGAGTCCAACTCTTCAAAACACAGTGACCACCATCACCATCACCACCATGAGCACAAGAAAAAGAAGAAGAAACACAAGCATAAACATAAGCATAAACATAAACATGATAGTAAAGAAAAGGAAAAGGATCCCTTTGCTTTCTCTAACAGTCCAGCCAGTGCACGATCAATCCGATCCCCATCACTTTCAGACTGATACTAATGGCTTCTCTGGAGTTCAACTTGCAATATTCTCTGAATGCTTACAAGGATGTATATAACTGTAGCTTCTGTCTTTTTTTTTTCTTTTTTTTTTAATGAAAATAGGAATATGTGCATTGCCTCAGCAGTTCAGAAGCTCTGCCACCATCATCCGAAGCCTTCCATTTGCATATGCAGTTGTTGAAATAATCTGATTCAAAAAAAATGATTGAGTCATTTTGTATCTCACTCTTCCCTGCACCTCCCACTCTTTTTTCCATTTTAAACAAAGAAAACAACCCTTTTTTGTAAGCACCCCATGTCCACTGGCAACTCCCTGCACATCATGCTGTCCATGTGTACTGCCAGAATCAATTATGTTTTAATCCTTTGAAGAATGTTATGAGGAAGAGTATATTTTAAACAGAAGCCAATTGCCAGACCTTTGGTGAATTGCTGTTTCCAGAGTAGTAGACCTCCTGAGAAGACAAAGTTTTTCTCTAGTCTCCAGTTGAATTGTTTCTTGCTTTAACTATTGTGATGTAATGCCCAAATTTTAAGAACAGCATATAGAACAATTTCCTTGTTCAGATGCTAAAACTCTTGAAAAAAAGTTGAGCTGCTTTTGAGCTGCCGGTATTTATTATGAACGTGAACATTTGACATTCTGCAATTATGTTTTTGTAATTTTAGCAAAATGCTTAATGCATGTTTTGTCCTGTAATTAGGCTTTTAATAATCCAATAAAGTTTTCAAATCATTTTGACAAAGGCAGAATTTTCTTCAAGCTTGACATTGGAATATGCTTTTGAAAGATGTCTTTGTTAAAACTGAAAATATTTTTTGAAAGCTTAAGGATTAAAAGATTAAAATATATTTCCTCCTTCTGAAAGGCGTTTTCTTGGAAGCATTCTGCAGTATCAGTTTGTGAATTCAGAGGCACAATGCGCTATGAGGTTCACCTCGGTCTGGGACTTGAAATGATGGATACATTCAGATCTTTTTTGCTGTGTTTTATGCAGTGTATTATCTACACTCGGCAAATGTTTTATTTAAAAACAGAAGCTTTTAAAACTTTTGCTCTTAGAGATAAATCATCTCTGCCGCTTTTTATGTGTTCTCTTTTTTTGTATGTAGAGGCAGAGGTTTTATTTCCATGTATTAGTTGACTTTTATTGCCCAGGTTTCGTACCACATTTGGTTTCTGTAAGATGGTTGTATGTGAGTTAAATATTTTCTCCAGAATTTTTCCCATATTCCTGTGAGAGATCGATTCTCCTTCTAAGGCAAAGAGAGAGTTTTCAACAGGGACCCACAAAGATTTTTTAAAGCCTTATTCATGGAAGTTAATAAATGCTTTTATATTGTATACCTGCTGCTGAATCCTGTACTTCTTGTGATAACAAATTCTTTGTAGAACTGAAAGATGATAGATGCGTTTTGTAAGGCACGTACACTGATTTGTTACTCAAATGCCAAATCCCTTTAATACTGTGTGAATAGTGCTGCTAGCTGTTGTAATCAGAGCACACGTTAAAATACATTTGAGCTGGATTTGGCCATGGTGGAGTGGGCAGCACTGGAGTCTTTCCATGCACAGTGCACTGGCTGCCTGCTGCCGTGCAGGGCTCTTCCTGCTGGCGTAAGCCCAGGTTGGTGCAATTTGTGTCCTCTGTAGCCTGCAAAGCTTGCAAGCTCTTGCAATCTGGGTGAACTAGAGATGCAACAAGAAAAGCTCCAAGCATGAGTAGAATGAGGTACTGAGCATCTTTTGGGTGGGCTGACTGTGAGTGCTGTTCAGCTGCCTAACTGGAGCCAGAGAGCTGTTCTGTTAGCATCATGAATTGTGAATCATAGGGAGAGGTTCAGGAGGCTATAGCAATAGCTCAATGGAAATATTTTTAGCTATTTTTTCCCTTGGCTAAGGAGTGAGGTAAGAGTGCCAAAGGTGTTTGTGGGAGACCTGGGCTAATGTGCAATGAAAGGTGGCATTGTTTGGTAGAGCGAAGGCAGAGGCATTTATGTTTTAAAAATGAGATCATAGGTAATTTAGGCTGGTGTTTCTGCTTCTGGAGATGTGGATTTACACCCTTATACTGAAGGGAAATGTATTGTTCAGTGATACGGGCACAGAACTGGGAGCTGCCACGGTAATTCTAGCGTCATCTGTTTGGCTGTATGACTTCAAGCAAATTATTTAATATACGGTAAGGAAACGTGGTGAAGACACAGCTCCTAGCAAATTAGAGGAAAAAAGCTAAGAAGACTTTTCCAACACGGTTTCTGTGGTTATGTCATGGTCCTGGTTCCATCAGTGTATGTTCACTGGTGTGTTGGACGGAACGCAAAGCCAGGCAGCGCTCACAAGTGGGAGATGCCATCAGAGGTCGGAATGGCCAGGCAGGCTGCACACATGGCCCCAGGGCAGCAAGTTAAATTCAGCAGGAGACAACCTGAAATACTGAGCAACTGGTACAATTGTGAAAGCAAATCTCACTTGAGGACTAACAGGATAGTTTTATATAAGCCATGAAAGTAATTATCCATCAAGTGATTTTGAGCAGCAGTTTGGAAGTAGTAGGTGGGCAACTTTCCCCACACGGAACTGATAGATAGCATTGCATATAAGAAAAAAATACAAGGAAGTGTGTATTCTGGGTCTAGAAGAAAAAAACTCTCCCTTTGAACATGTAAAATATTGCTTAAAGCTTTTCTTCTTATTTCCTGTGAGAAGGAAGGAATTGACTGTATTTATAAGAAACGATATTTTTGTGGAATGATAAAAGTTAGGGTGGAAAATGATGTGCCTCTTCCTGTAGGTCTGTAAGCAACAAACTGGCAAACATCTGTAGAGGGTGGTTGGGGGATGTTTTGCCCTGCCACAGTAGAGACCTTTGGGTTAAGATCTCTTGTTATAGTTTGTTTCAGTGTTCACTTAGATCTTCTATTTTTCAGTTAATTATTGTGGTGACTACTTGGGTGTGATGGGACTTAGAGAAGGCGTAGGAAACAGAGCTCTTTGTTTGCCAAAGATCTGACTGTGAATGCGGCTCAGCTTGGGTTTTTCTTCTGTTTAAAAACTGATGGCTCTTTCAAAATTATAACTTTGTCAATTCCACACAAAATTTGTATTTGGATAGTGATTAACTCTTCATCCTCTCCACCATTAGAGTTGATATGTTGGACGTGTCATGTGTGGTTTATCTGAGTATTCATTCCTGGTTTGAACTTCTGCTTTGTAGCTCATTGTGAAACAAAAGCAGAAGCTCAGGGTTGGCCTCTTCCCCCAGGTTATCAGTGATAGGAAGAGAGGTGATAGTCTCAAGTTGTGCCAGGGGAGCTTCAAGTTGGACACTAGGAAAGATTTCTTCTCAGAAAGTGGTGAGGCATTGGCATAGGCTGCCCAGGAAAGTGGTGGGTCACTGTCCCTATGGGTGTTTGAGACAAGAGTAGATATGGCTCTGAGGAATGTGGTTTAGTGGGAGTAATGGGGTTGATGGTTGGACTGGATGATTTCAGTGTTTTTTTCCAGCCTTACTGATTCTGTGATGTAGGTGAGTGGTATCTGAAGAAAATGCACTGCACATACAAAGTAAAAATATGCAGAGGTCAAAGTTTGGAGAATTTTATTTTGGCATTTCAATTTTTTAAAGTGAACTTTTCATTCGCTGTAAAGGACTGTGTCATGAAAATGCCTGCATGCAGTTTTATCACAGACTGTTCTTGCCTTTTCTTAGCATAATTATAGAATAAGACATCCACAAAGTAAGTGCTGCTCTTCTTAGATATTTGAGCACGTCTACAAATCTATTTAGGGCACAGCTTCTTTCCCCGGCGTCCAAGTGAGCATTCATTTCAGCTTTTTTTCCTTGCCCACCTGTCCTGGTGCTGTAGAGGAAAGAGCAGAGTGCAGATCCCTGAGCTCTCGGGTGAGCTGGCACAGGGCTGTGCACTCCCATAAAGCACTGCATCAGGGTCGCTATCCACGACGGCAGCGTATATCCTTGCACTGTTTGGCTTTTTAGAATACAAAAGCTATTTCGTTTCAGTTGATTTTGTATTTGTAGAAATCTGATAATTTGTGTAACTTTTTCATGTAAGGAAATTCGAGGCATGTCAATATTTTCAGTTCCCTAGGGCAGTTTATTCACGGAAAATTAAGAACCTGATTTTTAACAGAGCATCAGTATTGAATAAGGGCCCTGAAAAATATACAAGGTAAATAGAAATGTTTAGAATGAAATTTAATCACTGTATATATTTATATTTCATACTAATATAAATAGTTACATGAATACATATTCATAAAATATGTATTTATATTTATTTCCTGTTTTTTCAATGTAAAATGGCACTAATAATTTGAGTGTTTTCATGCACATGTTTTCATACGCATGAAGCCATAGCAGCTAATACATAAAGCCTGTGTTATTCCACAGCCATCTGATATCATTTGACAGACAGCATGGGACTGGGCTCAAGGTTTTCCATTTTGAAGATGTCCCCACCTTCACTGCACTCGTGAATAGGTTCAGAGATGTTTGGGTGTTCTGAACCAGACTCACACCAAAAGTTTTGGAGCACTGATGGGAAACAGACTCACAGACTGACATTTATTTTCTGTGCTGCCCTGAAAATAAAAGGGGGATGGTCTCAGGAGTAAGGGTCAATAGCAGCTCTTCAAAAATGACTCCAAACGGTGATCTCAGGTCACCTTTCTAATAATTCAGCCAATTAAAAGATCACCAGATCTTTTAATTATTATTCTTATTCTCTTAATTTATTTTTACCCCTCTTCTTGCAGAAAAGTTTTAATATGAAGTACCTCATTCTGAAAATGCGCTTCTCATTTCCTAAATGAATTCCTCTTTTTTATAAAGAATAAGTGTTTGATAATTGAAAACAAGCCCCCAAAGAAGAGAGAAGTTGAAAGCTGTACAAATGAAAGCACATTTCAAGGACCTGTTCATTTCTTCCCTTTTTCAAAAACTTAACTTCAGGAAAAAACACTCTTTTGGAAGTCATCTGTCCCTCACCTTTCCAGGAAAAGGAGGGACGATGACTCAGGCTCGCTGCCGGTGTCGGAGCTGTGAGTAAGGCTCTGTTTGGGGATGGCCGTGCCAAGCCCCATCGCCTGTGGCTTCCAGTGCAGGACCTGAAGGGATGCAGTGCGAGCAGCAAGGGGCTCACAGCTCATCACAGCACGGCCCAAAGCGGTGGGGTCCTGGCTGACCGACCAGCACAAGGTTCTGCTCAGCATCCGATCACTTATTTTCCTGAATCTTTGGGTTTGTAACTGTATAGAAGTTTGACGCTATAAATATGTGCTGTGATAGCTCATCTCCCATCCAGAAGGAAAATCAAAGCCTACGTGGGAAGAAGGTGTTTTTAGCAGCTTGTGAAATACTGGAGGACAGCTTTCCAAGTTGGTATGGCAGTCACGAAAGTCCCTGGCAGTGTGTTGCCAGTTTTAGTCTTCTAATTAGGAATTTTTCTGTGCTCCGAAAAAAATGAGGTAGTGAAGGGGGAAGAGGTTTGGAGAATTGTTTGCTGCCACAGGGAAGAGACCAAAGGGCTCATCAGTTCTGTCACTCACCTTCCTAACACTGTTCCTACTGCTCTTATAGGTTTGGGCTGACACAATGGAGCTGCTGCAGTCTTCACTTGTTTCTCTCCCTTATTTCTTTATTTTCAATTCTTCTTTCAATGTACTGATGTACTCATCATCTGAGAGCTGTCCCAGCTTCAGGAGAGGCAGATCACACAGAGATATCCAGCAAAGGAACAGGATGATACTCTGCACTGTGGCTGGAATCTCCTGTCTCAGCTTTCCACGCTCTTCTTCCTGCTTTGTGGCTGGAGGCAACCACAGCATGTTAACTTTCTTGGAGGATCAAGCACAATGTTCCTCATTCCTTATGGACACACAGAGTCCATCCAGACATCTTACTGTTTTCTTGCATTTGGAGAACTGTGCATAGAAAATGTTTCTCTAATATTTTTACCAAAGGATGCAGTCATTTTAAAAGGTTGAGGTTCGTATATTATGTTATGGAGTGCTTGACTAATTTGAAAATACCAAATACATTCAGTTGCGTTAATTTTAAAATATATGAATACAAATTTGTTTTTAGGATCATAGAATCCTTAGAGTTGGAAGGGACCTCTTAGGGCCATCTAGTCCAACTCTCCTGCAATGAACAGGGACACCACAGCTAGAGCAGGTTGTCCAGGGCCATATCCAGCCTTGCTTCCACCACATCACTGGGCAACCTGTTCCTGTGCCTCACCACCCTCATTGTATAGGACTTTTTCATATGCCTATGAGGACGTTATGGGAGACAGTGTCAAAAGTCTTGTAGAATTCCA